GTACCTTTTAAAATATATATGTATTTTTTATTGATTTCAGAGAGGAAGGGAGAGGGAGATAGAAACATCAATGATAAGAGAGAATCATTGCTTGGGCTGCCTCCTGCATGCCCCCTACTGGGGATGGAGCCCACAACCCAAGCCTGTGCCCTGACCAGGAATGGAAGCCTGGCCTCCTGTTTCATAGGTCGGAGCTCAACCACTGAACCACGTGGCCGGGCAGTGTCTCTGACACTTGGCGTGGTCCGGTCTTCTCCATTTTAGCTGTTTTATAGGTGTGGCTCCTTGTGACTTTAGTTTGCATTTTCCTAATGACTAATGATGTCCAGCATCTTTTCACATGTTTATCTGCGATTAGTCGTCTTTGTTAAGTGTCATTTCTGATTTGGGCTTATTTCTTACTAGAGGCTCGGCGCATGAAATTCGTGCACGGGTACGGTTCCTAGGCCTGGCCTGCTATCAGGGCCATCTTCCCGAGCTGCCCGCAGCCAGCTCCGTCCCCTGCCACCATGTCAATTTGCATAGTACTCTTTTATTATATAGGATTATATAGGATAATTGAGTTCTGGAAGTTCTTTATACATTCTGGATATAAGCCTTTTTATCAGATATATAATTTGCAAATATTTTCTCCCAGTCTGTGACTTGGTTTTCACCTTTTAACAGTGTCTAAGGGAGGTTTTTTCTTTCTCTTTTTCTTTTGATAAAGTCCCAATTTACCAGTTATTTTTCTTTTATGGATCATTCTTTTGGAGTCATAGCTAAGAAATCTTTGCCTCATTCAAGAACACACAGATTCCCTTTTTTAGAGGTTGTATACTTTATTTTGACATTTCTGCCTTCTGGATAAATCTGTGGCTTCTTGAAGGGGTTATCGACACTTGCGGTGCCTGTGGCTTGCCCACCTCACTCCTCTGAGTCTAGTTCCTCTGCCCCATCCCAGCTGACCCCCAGGACCCCCAGAGTCCAGGTGTCATCTTGCTGCCCTGCCTAAAGGACTTGGCCTGTGTGCTGTGCTGTCACTCCTCACACTCCAGCTTCCACCTGCCCTCTGAGGAGCCTTCCTGGGCTGGGCCGGAGCCTCCTCCAGGCACTCGGGGTCCCTTGGGCTTGCTTCTGACATGGACCTGAGCATAAGGACCTGCCCCAGTCTTCTGCCACTAGAAGCACCCCACTCCTGAAGAAGGCTCAGGCCTAGGGCCCAGCTCAGGGCCTGGCACAAGGAGGGGCCCCACAAAGGTTTGTTGATGGAAGGTTTGTTGAGTGAGAACACTCTCAATCTCTCTGCCCCTAACCACAGATGAGGCAACCTGGGTGTGAGAAACTTAATTTTCATGTTTACGATAAAATTCCAGCCCAGCCGGTGTGGCTCAGTGGTTGAGTGTCGACCTATAAACCAAGAGGTCACAGTTTGATTCCATCAGGGCACATGCCTGGGTTACAGGCTCTATCCCCAGTAGGGAGCATACAGAAGGCAGCTGGTCAATGATTCTCATCATTGATGTTTCTATCCTTCTCTCCCTCTCCTTTCCTCTCTCTGAAATCAATAAAAACATATATATATAAATATAAAAGCCCAACTCGCCACCTGGGCTACGGGGCCCATGGTGTGGCCCTGAGGACTTCCACAACCTCATCTTGTGCTACTCGCCTCCTGCTGCTTGCTAGGCTTTCACTCCCTGAGTGTGCCATGCTGGCTTCTGCCTTGCCTGCCTGTAGAAGTGGCTGCCCCCCCTGCTGCTGTCTCTGCTCATTCCCATGTAATTCAGAGCACAGGTTGAAAGTCCCCTCCTTGAGGCGGCCCCCTGCCCCCATCTGCCCAGTGTAAAGGGACTGCCTGGTCCCTAGCTGCCCTCGCCAGTTGCGATGGTCTTAATAGCACATCCTCACTGTCTAACATTTTCTCGCTTGTGGTTAACAGGAAATCATTTCCAGGGGGGCAGGGATTTTGTCTGCTGTCTGCCCTCACTTTCCTCACACCTAGAACAGTGTCTGGTGCTGACGGGCTCCATGTTGAATGTTGAATATAGTAAATCAGCACAGAGCCGCTGAAGGACCCAGATGTCCCTGTGGCTGGGCCAGGCTTCTCCTCCTGCCTGGACTTATGCAGCCCGGCCACAGCCCACAGGATTCTGACCAGGCCCTTGTACCTGCGGAGCTCTCTGTCAGTACAAGGGCCACAGCTTGTGGGCTCCAGGGTCCTCCCGGGGAAAGGTTCCACAGCTCAGGGTCCTCCAGGGTCCTCACCAGGTCTTGGGAGCCAGTGGGGCAGGAAGAGGAGCTGGCCCAGGGACTAGCCCAGTGGCCCAGCTGGATAGGGGCCGAGCCTAGCCCCAATGTCCCTCTTACAAATGGGATAGATGTCAAGAGGGGAGAGAGGTGTTTGAAGTTACACAGAAAGTGACAGTGTGAGGACTTCTCTTGCTGGCCGTGAAATTCCCTAAATTAAAAACCAGCAGACCAGCAGGTGCCTCGTGCCCAGGGACTTGGAGACTTCCTGGCCGGTCCCAGCCTGTCCGTAGCCCTGCCCAGGCAGGACTTGGCTAAACTCGCCAGGCCCAGGAAAAGGAGGAGGGAGGGTGAGAGTGTGCCCTCCACCCACTGAGTCAGTCAGGGGAGGATGGCAGTGGCGGAGACCAGACAGGGGCATCCCTTGGCTTACGGGCGGGCACTGAGGCGGGCAGACAGTGAGGAACAGAGCAGGGTTGTCCTGCCCTCATGACTCACCCCACCCGCCCATCTGCCTCTCCAGGGAAAGACTCCCAGGAGGTTTCGGGACACACATGGAGGGCCCATCCCATTCCCAGGCCGCAGGCTGGGCCCCTGGAGAGGAGGAGTGTCGATCAGAGATCAGCATACTTTCCCGGGCGCTGTCTTGCGGGGGACAAGCAGCCTTGCAGGGCGGCAGAGTAGAGTGGGAGCCAGCCGAGGCTCTGCGGCTCGGAGAATGGCTTTCTCTTCCGCCCCAGCCTGGCCTTGCTGCTGGCAGGGTTGGGTTTTGGCCTGTTTGCTGATGTGAGGACACATCCTGGTTTGGGTTGGCCATTGGCATTTGCAGATGAAAAATAATGACCCTGATGATGGAAATGCTACTTGTTGTTTACTCTGGGCCAGCCACTGTGCTCAGCATTTCCCATTCATTGTTTCATTTAATTTCACAAGTAAATATAGTTATTATCCCCATTTTAGAGGTGAAAGAAATGAGGTGACAGAGTAGGCGAAGTGGTTTGCTTGAGGTCACCCAGCTAGGGAATGGTCAGGGTGGGACTCAAACCTGAGTCTTCTGAGAAAACAGAGTCCACACTCTTCGCTGAAGGGCGTCCTCCTGACAGGTTCCCTGCGGAGGGAGGGGCCTTGGCCTGGCTTTCTCCTTCCTGGCCAACTCCTACTTTTCCTTCGCCTCCTGATCCTAGACTCTCAGGCCCCCTGTGCACACCTGTCCTGTAACTGCTGTCCCACCTGTGCACACCTGTCCTGTAACTGCTGTCCCACCTGTGCTTCCAGGGCAGATAAAGCACTTAAGCTAGGTGCGTTACTTATATTAACACTAGAGGCCTGGTGCATGAATTCGTGCATGGCTGGGGTCTGGCTGGCCCGCCCCGATGGAAGTCCATCAGGCCGGGCCAGTTGCGGGGAAGGGGTGCCAATTGGGGCCCAGATCAGGCTGGCTGGCTGCAGCAGTGTGCATCACAGCCACTGGTCGTTCTGGTTGTTCCACTGTTTGGTCACTGGGCTTTTATATATATAAACAGGAATGCATGCAAGGGGCCCTGGGGCCCACAGGTGGGCCAGCAGCTTGGACACAGGGATATAGGGATAGGGTGGGCTTCTCCCTGGCAGGATAGAGGAAAGTGAGACCCCTGAGAGTGGCCTTAGGTCTGGCAGTCACCCTGGACCAGGGCATCTCTCTGCTCGACACATTGTAGCAGGACTGGCCCATGGAGGGGCTGGACATCAAGGGGCTGGACATGCAGAGGTTGCGTGTTTGGCCTGAGAGGTTCTAGGCCCAAGCCACATGCTTGGGAGGGGAGGGACCAGTTTGGGCCTGTTTGGGGAGGGGAGGCTTGAGGAGACCCCATCTCACAGATGCCCAGTGCTGCTTGCTCACTGTCCAGCCTGGAGGCTGCAGTCGGCTCTTCCATGCTGCCCCCAGTGGCACTTTTCCACAGCTGTTAGGTTTATACATGAAAACAGCCATACACAGGTCAGCATCTCCGCCTCCCCACTTCCTAGCTGTGTGAAGTTAGTGAGTAATCTAACTTGCAGCCCATTTCTCAATGATATTGTGGAGATAGTGAGGGTGAGATGGGATTCAAGGAATACCTGGCTGCTCTCTTCAACCCAGGGGCCTTTAGGGGCTGGTGTGAATCCCTGCTGGGAAGGAGGTTGTCTGTACCCTCCCCAACCATGGGCAGCATTAATGGGGCCCTGGGAGGGGGAGGTGGCTGAGCCCCAGCCCCACGCTCAAGTGGGCCCTCTCACCCCTAAAGCAGCTCCAGCTCCAGAATTACGCAGCAAGAGCCAAGAATCCAAGCACCAGGTGTGGGGACAGACCCTGACTGAGGTGGGCTCTCACCTTTGCCCACTCCTAAAGGCCTAGCGGTCTGGAGCCGGCAAATGCTAGAGCCAGAGGCAGCTGGAGGCTGAGCCCTCCTTCAGCCTCCAAGAAAGAGGCTGCTCCCCAGAGCCACAAAAAGGCACCACCCTGTTCTCAAGGCTCTGCTTCCAGGCCTGGCTCCACCATCTGAGGGAGGGAGCTGGGCTACTTGTCACCCTCCTGGAACCTGTGTCCGATGTGGGCAAGGACCCGTGGCAGTGGGCACTGTGGTGTCCTGTGCTGATGGGGCAGGTGGTAAAAAAGGAACCTGTGACACTTATGTCCACCCACGGATCAAGTGAGGATGACTGAGTGTTTCTTGAAACCCAAGGGGCTGTGTCACTCCCACTCTCTCCATCCCAAATCGGGGACCAGAAACAAAACAAGCCAGGAGCAAGCAGAAGACTATTATATATCATGCTTTTAATACAAACTTAAAAAAATCTGGAACAATATAAACTGTACAGATTTGATCAATCTTTTGTTTTGTTTTTTAAACTAAATCTCTAAACACACCAATGTCCCATTCCAAAATATTGCACAACATTCTGAATACAAAACGCTGATTGTATTCCTCCTTCACTAAAGAAAACAAGTTCATTGCCCTGCTCCCCAAGCCCCTCTCCACATTGCCTCAATGCCCCCTTCCCATCCCTAAGGGTCAAACTAGAGAATCTAGAGCTCACTGCATTGAGAAAAATACATCATTCTGGACTAAAAGTTTACACTCTTTACAAGATGATCCACCTTTTGATTTGTTCCTGGAAAGAGGGGTAGATAGAGGATGGGGAAAGGGGAGAAAAAGGTTTTATTCTCCTCTTTTTTATTTTAAAGTTTGTTTTTCCTGAAAAAATATCTTTGTTTCTCTCCTCTTTTTAAGAAAAAATCTTGAAAAGAAAAAAATTACATTTTACGTTAGAAATATACATATATTATATATACCTCTTACATTTTACAAATGTAGCAAATTATTCAATACAAACGGACACCAAAAAATGTAAAAAATAAAAAAAAAAGTTTTCCTACCAAACCAGGTAAATTAGTGCAGATTTCTGTTTCTGTTTTCTTAAAATAAAAAAATTTGAAGCAAAAATGCCTAGATTTGAGACAAGACAGACTGAACTGGGCCCAAGAGCCCAGCACTGGAGTCATGCTCCTGAACACACATTTTTCTTCGTATTTCAAGACACTAAGGGGTTGGTCTCGCCCTCTCCCTACATGTGGCGAGAAAACAAGCTGACCAGGTATAGGGGGGGTACCTGTGTGCGTGAGTTTGGGAGGAGGGAGCGGGGAGGGGGCATAAGGCAGCATCCAACCTTTCCCAGGGAGCAGCAACCTGCCTGGGCCTGTCACCTGCGTGGGAGCCAAGGGCTGGGGAGAGAGGGTGGCCCAGATTGGGCTGGCCCCTGAGGAGTCTAAGGGGACAGATGGTGCTGGGCTGAGGAGGCAGGGCACTGCCCTGCTGGGGGAGGTAGAGCTGGTGCCCAGTGCGGGGAAGGCTGGCAGTGTCTATCTGGGCTGGACCCACTGCCAGAGCAGTTGCCCACTTGGGTCGCTGGGGAGGATGGGGTGGGGTGCCGAGGGCTTTGGAACTTTCCAGTGATGGGGGCCCTGATGCCATGTGCCCCACTTGCCAAAGCATCATGGCATGGAAGCTGGCCCACTACGGTTGGGTTGGAGAAACAGCTCTTCTGGCAGAGGTGGGGAGCAAATGCTCTTCTATATCCAAATGCCCCAGCTTCAGTGGCTAAGCCTGGCCTGCCCAGACCACTCCTCTGGCATCAAGGCCAGTGGCGTTAGGTCGGGCAGTGAGAGGGGATGGGCAAGAGGTACCAAAATGTTCCCAAGCAGGCAGGGGCAGAAGTGCACGACAACATCTACAGCCAAAGGACCCAAAAGTCTCAATTCAAGGCTCAGGGCTGCCCACTACAGGCACTGATTCAGAATTCCCACCCCAGGGTGCTTAGGTGAGCAGCTCCCACCCTGGGCTAGTCACACAACAGGAGGGTCCAGGGACTTCTCTTAGGCATCAGAGGCTGGGTATTCCCCTCAGCCCCTCACAGCTACCCTCCCCCCCTTTTTTTTGGTCAAATACAAAAGTGCAGATCCCTCTGCAGTCCGGAAACCAGTTCCTCCTGCAGTGCTTTCCCCTGGGATTGTCTCAGGCTCAGCCAGTCTCACCCACCATGTGACCCACCCTACAAAAGGCCTGACAATCGCCCTAGCCTATTCCCCCACCTCAAACATAAATAAGCATTTGCTACAACCCAGAATCACATGGGGGGCGGACGGGACGGGGGGAGTTTCACATGGCTTGGAATTCTTTAAAGTAGGATAGCAAATCATCGCATACTGGCCCCCACCTCCCTACTCACACCTCACAGGCCCAGGGAAGAAAAGGCTGCCTGAGAGGCCACACATATCAGCGGCTGTGTCTCCAGGGCCACGGTGTAGTCTGGGACGCCAGGTGGGAATGGTGGTGTGCGGGCCACAGGACAGAGATGAAAGGAATTCCAATAGAGGGCTACCTCCCTGGAGTCAGACGTCAGCTCTGGGGGGAGGGTGTCAAGCGGCCAGCCAGCAGCTCCCTGTGACCCATGCCTGAGGAGCGGGGCTTGGGCCAGACCTATTTGGGTGGCAGGACACAAGGCCTGCTGAGGTCGGATGGCTCTGAGTGAGAGGTTAGCTGGGTGATGGATACAGTGACAGGGGACAGCCTCTCCCTGTTCTGAGGGCCAGGCCCCAGCTGTGGCTCCTGTGAGCTTGAACACACCAATCCTAAACCAGGTGTGTGAAGGAGGGAGGGAGGAAGAAAGGGACGGAGCAGCAATTCACATCAGGACCATTCTTAGCACAGGAAGCCACTAATTAAAGATGTTATATAGAAAACTACATGTAAGGAAAAAAACAAAAGAAAAAACAAACCCCAAACCAACCAAATAAATCATAGGCAGGCAGGAAAACAGCAAGGAGGTTGCGTTAAACACGATTCAGGTGCCTCGGCTGCCTCTTTTCTCTAGAAGTGAGAGTGAGAAGATTGGGAATATTTTCGTATATTTCTTTTCCTCTTTTTTTGGCCTTTCCTTTCCTTTTTCTCTTCTGTGGTCTTGGGTGCTCCTGGCCCCGCAGGCAGGGGGGTGGTCAGTTGGCCAGCACGACGGGCTGGAACGGCTGGCTGGGATACTGCATGGTGTTCAGGTTGTAGCTGAGGCCTTCCACGAAGGGCGTCTTCTCCAGGAAGAGGCTGTTGGCACCGCCTCCGAACACCTGGGTCATGTCGAAGCTGCTGCTGTTGCAGGTGCCGGCCCCACTGCCCTGGCCATCGGCCCCATCAAAGAAGAGGCTGGGCGAGCCACCGCCATTGTACACGAACTCCTTGGCATTGGGCGAGAGCTGGGACTGCGGGGCCGGGTTGGGGGCGACGAAGTTCAGTGAGTGCACAGACGGAGAGAGGCTCTTGTGCTTCAGCAGGTTGTTGGTGGGAGAGCGGGCCAGGCGAGGCTGCGGCGGTGGGGGCTGCTGGCCACCTGCCCCACCGCTGGCCACGCTCCCACCACTGGCTGCCCCTCCGCCCTTCTTCATCTTGGTGGAACCAAACTTGGTGGCAGCGAAGGAGGCAGTAGTAAAAGTGATGGGTTGGGCGGAGCGTGGAATGAAGGTGGGGCTGGGAGACTGACCAAAGGATGGTGAAGGGGAGTTGGACAGGGAGCTGTCCTGACTGCCAATGGGCACAAATACCTGGGCATCAGGATTGAAGCTGCTCTTGATCTCCTTGTCCAGCTCTGGGGCCACACAGCCCTCGCTGTCATCCAGGTATAGCACTTTCACAGCCCCCTTCTCACCAATCTGGTAGGACACCTCGAAAGGGTCGATCCAGACGCTCAGCTCCTCAGGCACGTTGGCCCGCACATCCTCCACCGCCAGGCCGCTCCGCTTGGCGGCCAGCTCCACCACAGGGTCCACTATCTCCCCAATGTGGACGCAGCGAAAGCCAGAACCCTTCAGTGGCTTGTCAGGGTACCAGTGGCCTTCATATTTCTTTTTTAAGAGCCGCTCTAGCTCCTCCCCAAACAGGTCTGCCCGGCGCCGGGGCAGCTTGTTGTACAAGTAGGAGATGATGAAGTTCAGGGCCACTTTGATCTCCAGCTGCATGGCGCTTTCCTAAGCAAACAATCAGTGCAGGGCACGTGCACAAGCCACGGACAGCGGCAGAAGACGGAAGGTGGGCAGCCTTGGGCTCCAGAAGGCCCTGGGAAACAAGAGGGGGCATCATGAGTAAACATGCAAAGAGCCGGGGTCCCATGGCCAAGGACAGACAGGAAAACACCAACTGCAGGTCACAGACCTGAGGTCCCATTTTTGCCCCACCAGTGACTAGTTTTATTTGTGTGACTGGGCAAGTCACTTGTTCTGAGCCTTGGTTTCATCAGCAACATGAGGTTACCATGAAGATTAGGTTAGTTCAAGGATGTAAACTGCCTCACACGGTACCTGGTTTTTAGTAGGTACTTGATAAAATTAGCTTTTTTTCCTTTTAAGTAATTCTAAAGAAAATAGGGTTGCTGCAGTTCCCAGTATTTTGAGAATTCAGACCACTGGATGACTGGCACCAAAAAAAATATGGAGCCCTTAATTTAGCTGGAGAAGGGAAGGCTCCTGCTAATGTTCTCTGTAATATCTTGGTGAAACTGTGCCAAGTTGTCACAGGCCAAGGTCTAAGTTCATAATCTTTAGTTTTCCTCCTTAAGTGGAAGGGATGCAGGTCATTGAACAAGAAACAGCACTGCCAACATTTCGCTGGGTGCTTGGACTCCAGTCACATCCCATGTGTCATGCTGTGCTCCCTGGGTGTGTGTGTGCTCTGGCTCACTCTGGGTTTGCAGAACTGATTTCAGAATTGCACAGTGTAACCAAGGCAAGCACTGCCATCCAGAGAGCCTCCAAGAATAGAGATGAGAGCATGAGCCCCAGGAAAAGTCAAAACCTGTCAGAACCAGAGGCCTGGGCCAACAACAGAACTGCTGACACTGCTGATGGCAGCTGCCCTGGGGCAGTGGAGGAAAGGAGAGGGAAGGAGGGTCCTGCTGGCCAACAGATCTTTACCAGCAGCACTAGCATGGCCTGAAGGAATCTCTGTCGTTTCTGGCTAGAGCAAGCATGTCAAACTCAAGGCCGGCGGGCCGCATGTTTGACATGCTTGGGCTAGAGAGGGTAAGTGATGAGGAGGGCAGAGAGGAGGAATTTTCCATGACCCTGAGGCTTCCAGCTGGGGATCCATCATCACTCAGTCTCCCAGGGACAGTGTGACCACCTGTCCTTGGCACGGGATCAGATTTATCAAGTGTTTAGAGATCCCTGGAGCGGAGGCAGCCCAAGATGAACACTCAGATTGTTATTTTGGGACTCCCTCATAGCCAGATTGCACAGAGGTCAAACAAGTTTAGTTCCCAGGTCTGGGCCAGCCTCATGTCTCAGGAAGATGATCTGTGAGGTCCTAAGACCCAGTGAGTTTCATCTCCTCACTTTCTCCAAACGACAGCTCCAGGCTCATGCTGTGGGTGAACTGAACTCAAAAGGCCACCCCCTTCCAGGGCCAACCAGGCCAGAACATGTTCCCAGCCAGACCTCTGGGTGAGAGTGTGCTGCTGAGCTCAGCACAGAGACAAGACTGATCCATGATCTGTCAAGGGCATCTTCTGTCCTGTGACCGATCTGGAGCTGGAATTTGATAAAAACCCCTTTAGGTCCAGCACAGAGTATCCAGAGACTAATTATAGGCGTGAGGATCTCGAGTTTTCTGAACACCTGCCTCAACTACATCCCTTCTCATTTTCAGCCCTTTGCCTTAACTCATTTCCCTATAGTTTTCAGACCTGGGCCATGGCTCCCAGGGACATTTTTAGGATTGAATCCTCAAGCAAAGCTCTCTGAGGCAAGTCTCAGAGAAGATGCACTGGCTCAATCTGGAGCATCATACACACTGGCCAGGTCTAGTCCTGCCCCCATTTCAGGTCTGAGGAGGCAGAGGGTCACGTGGGGCGTCATCAGAGGTGCCATCAGCATGCCTCTCTCAAGCCCTCCACAGGGATGCCCAGGCTCCAGGGGACCCTTATCTCCTCTCAATCCCAGACTCCAACAAAGACTTAATCTCCAAGTTGCTCCAAATGTCTATTCATGGTCACTACAGATCAATTTCAGGGTCCTTTTAGTTTTCAGAGAAAGAACAACGGTAGATTAAGAGCCTTTCTGTTTGTGAGGCCTGAGTTCATCACCAGATGCAAAGCTAGCCACCAGGAACTTGGGTCTCCACTCAAGAACAGCGGTATGGAAGGGCCACAGTGGTGGCCCACTAGAGGTGTCCAAACACAGAGGAGACTGAAAAATTGTGAAGAAAGTTGGTCCTGGTTCCCAAGAATGAGCCTGAAGTTAATTAAAGACAGTGTTTTCAGAAAAGTAAGAGACCTAAATCCAGCATCTGACACTTCTCAAGGCACACACAGCCTCGGTATGCCTCCTACGCCTTTCTAGCCCTCTCTAACTTGGGTGCATATTTGCCTTTCAAGTTAACCTCTCCTAAACAGTTCAGCCTCAAAATGGGAGCATTTCAAATGCAGGCCAAAGTCACTGGGATAGAAGCCTCCCACCTCAATATACAATAGAACCACTGTCATCAGCCCTGCCCAGCTAACCAGTTTCTGCAGCATCAGCAACTAAAGCTGCACACCAATTTATACCTCAGTGATGCTGCCGCACAAATAAGGAAGTATATATAATGCCACCTTTGCCTCTTTAATTGGAGAACAGGCTAAGCCAGATGGCTGTGGGGTGGAACCTTACAAAAATGCCAGACAACCAGACTGATATTTTCTGCTCTATCAGCTCAGGCTCTAATTTTGACTTCAAGAAGCTTAGGGAACACAGGATTAAAGCACTGGTGCTGTCTTGTCTTTAACTAAAGATAGAAATAGCCACTCTGATGAGTTTGTTCATTTTTTTTTTTTTTTTTTTTTAGGCAATGGGCAAATTCTAGAGCTTGTATATAAAATATTCATAGAATGTGGTAAGATTAGAAAGCTTAGAAATAACTACCCTTCAATAAAAGGAACAAGTAGAGTTGGGTTAAGCAGCAGGAAAGGACGCTAAGGTTTCCAACCTTGACTCAGGGGCAGAAGGTCAGAAAGGTGGCAAATGGAGGTGGGGTGGGGGGAGGCTGTGTTTAACAACAGCAAATCTACATTTTGTCAATATACCAAAAAGTTGCAAATGTGAGACTAAATTCTGTCTTATCTTATTTAGAATCTTACCCCCTTCACTAGTTTGCTTTCAGCAACAAAGTTAATCCTGCGCTGAATTGTGTTTTAAAGAAAAGTGTGTAAAAGGACAAAAATGGGGGGGGGAAAAGGATGGCTGCAGACGATGTGGTGATGGGATTCCAGAGAAAACATCTAGCAAAAATACAAAGGAAGAATTTTAAGAAGATAAAGTTATGAAGTTATGTTTTAAACGAGAAAAGGAGAGATGATGGCAGAGGAAGCCACCAGACTCCCCAAACCATGAGAATCTATAAAAATATTGAGGCACCTGAAGCTTTAACATCCAAATCGTCTTACAACCAAGCACAACTGGATTCAAGTGAGTGTGGACAGAGGAGTCAGGGGGGAGGGATCCTCAATTTTGACAAGGCCAGTAGGTGTCATAAGCTGGGTGCCTGCGAGTCAGAGCTGAGCTCCAGGGGGACAGGGGACAAACCCATCCCACCGGTCCTGGAGCGCCCCGTTGGGCAGGTGTGGTTGAAAGGTTCCAGGACTTGTGGCAACTGAGTGCGCCCCGCACCCCCCCCACCCCCCGCCCCACACCATCACCCCCAAACACAGGCTGGCACAGCCCCCGTCTGACTGCCAGGTTCCTTCTGCCTAGGAGGGCCTTTTCTAGGGCTCTCTCGGTTCCTCCAAAGCCGGGAAGACTTGACTGAACCCCAATGTAAGTGGAGAGACCGGCAGTAAAGTTGCGCTCTGCATTCTGGGAATCGTAGTCCCCACAAACCTCACGCTCTGGTTAGAAGCAAGTGACCTACTTCCTCTGCACACTACACCTCCCTGCGCACTTTGCGAAGGCTCAGCCGGCAAACCACGCATGCCCAGTAAAGGGAGCTGGCCGATGGTCGGAGAACCATGGAAAAGTTTCCGATGCACATGCGCGCTGTGGCGGATGGCCCCATCCCCCGCCCTCGGCCTAGTACATTTTATATAAATTCTACTCGTCAGGCCCACGCGCCGTGGTTTACCACCCTACCGTATCCATGTCTTGGTTTCTCGAGAGGCTGAACTCTTTCTCCCCACCACCTCCCATGACCGCTGAACTAAGGATCTGCTTCAAATGAGTTCTTCTCGGCTGAGGGCGGAGGTCTGGAATGGATAAGGTCACATTCCCACCCCGCTGCCCCTGCGGCTTTAATCTGTATTCCTGGGGCTTGGTGGTCTCCGTCTGGAGTTGCTGTAGGTTCGGTGGATTCAAAAAGAAAAGAGCCTTTTCATTCAACGCCCAGCGGGCTCGGCTCCAGCATCCCAACAGCCAAGAAAGTAAGGGCAGGAATGAAAAGCCAGTTCCCCGGGCCTCTTGGCCAAAGAAATTCCCAGATAAACTGCGGGGAGGCGCCAGGCCGACAATCTGACGGCCGATGCCAGCGGGGCCCAAACCTCACGCCTCTTCTAATCCAAGTCCCAGTAACCAGACCCGGAGAGGAACATGGGAAAAGGTTCCCGGGCAGGGAAGGAAAAACTGTGCCTCTGACACCTGCACGGCCCCTTCCAACACTTAAAATTGTTTGCATCTCCTCCCACTGCAAGGCCTGCTCTCCGACCAGACTTACCAGCTTCTCAGCAAAGCTCCCCTGCGGAGCGCTAACCCTCTCTAATCCCTCCCTCCACACAAGCCTGCTTCCCCCTCCCCTCAGGAGGGGGATGGGGACAGGTGCCCAAGAAAGCCACAGGGGTGTTTTTCTGCTGGAAAATCTAAGATGAGGGACCCACTCCTGGGGGGGCGGGGGGAGGAGAAAAAGGTCAGTGTACTGAGCAGGCCCCAAGACCCTCGCCGCTGGCCCCCAAGTTGAAGCCTGCTGGATGGGGTTCTGGTTCCCTGGGGGCTGGGAAAGGGCCTGCCAGTTGCCTTTCCTCTCGCTGCCCCCTCCTCCCCCCCCTTTCTGGTCAAGGACACCGTCCATCCCCTGGACAGGAGGGAAGGGGCTCAGGCTCTTCCTCCCGGGCACCTCACCCCATCAATCCACCCACTGCTATTGCTCTCAAGGCACTTTTTTTCTGGCCCAGTTTTCCCTGAAAACACTAAAGAGGATAAAGAGCTTAAGCCCAAATGCTGAATTCCGGCTCAGTGGCAAGAGGACAGCCAGCAGTGACCGGTTCAAAAGGGGACTGTCCACCCTTCATCCCTCAGGCTTCACCCGGCCAGATACAAACCTATTAATCCTTGCCCCCCCGCCCCCCCTTCCCCGCACAGGGGAAAAGCAGCAGAAAAACAAGGCCTGCATTCCCTCCTGCCTCTGATGTACTCAATGGTGATGGGAGTTAGGTGTTTTGGAGGAACAAGAAAATTCTAGCCAGTCTCTAGGGAGATTAAGAACTGAGGGGGGCGGACAGGGGGGAATGCACCCCACCCAGGAGCGGGCCACACTTGGAGGAGGGAGAGAGAGGAGCTCTGGGGTACCCCAGGCTGAGAGCGAGCGTGCGGCGGGGAAATGGAGCGCGGGGGGAAGGGGGTTCCCGGGGGAAGGGAAATGCTGCCCAGGTGTGGGGCGGGGGCGCGACAGCAGCGTGGAGCGTCCAGCGAGCGAGGAGCGGGGGTGGGTGCGGAAGCCGTGGGGACTGTCGGGTCTCCGGGCCCCCCACGCACTCACGGGTCTCCGCGGCGGCGGGCGGGCTGCCGACCCGGCGGCTTCTCCCTCCAGAGCGGTCCTGGGCGCGGGGCGGAGACCGCTCTCCCTTCCTTCCACGGGCGCCGCCAGGCCGGGCGCGGTGTCCCTTCCTTCGCGGAGGGTTGGGGGCGAGGCGGAGGGTCACGGGCTCCGGCTCTCAGTAGTAATTCTCGCAGCTTTCCAGGAGGCCGGGCTCCGCGGCGGGGGCGGGGGGCGGGAGGGCCGGCCGGCGGCGGCGCGGGGACGGCGGGCCGGAGGGTGGCTGGCGTCGCGGGACGGAGGACGGTCCGGGCTGTGGCCGGCGGGCGGTGCTGCCCTTCGGGCCCCGCGTCTCCCAAGCCGCTCCCTCCCCTCCGCCGACGACCCGCACCTGCCCGCGCCCCGGCCCGAAGTGAGCAAAGTCAATGAAAAGTTTCACCCTTAGCAACCCTGCGCACGGATCCGCTCCCGCCCGGCGTGATGCGTCCTCCGCCCGCGGGGCGGGGCCGGGCGGCCGGGACTACTTCCGAGCGGGCGGGCGGCGGAACCCCGGCGCTGCCGACGCGCGCGCACCTGCCCTCGCCCCCCCGCCGGGCCGACTCTGCCCGGCGCCCCGGTCCCCGCTCCAACGTCAGCGAGGCCGCCTGCCCTGCGCATCGCGGCGCCTCCTCGTAGTCATGTCCGTCAGGCCCCAAACCACTGGGATCCGCTCGCCGTGCAGGCTGTGTCCGCAGGTGGACAGCGGGCTCTGGAGGGCAGGGTCCTGGGATGGGACCGCGCCGCCCGCGTGGGGTGTGCTGGCTGCGGGGAGCACGGCTGTCGGCGGCCCGACACTCGCCCCCAGGCCGCCTCGGCGAGTCCCTCCAGCTCCGGGCGACCGGCCGTGCGGCTGCCCTCGCACCGCCCGTGACGAGCGGCAGGGGCGATGGGAGGGGCGAGGGGACGACCCGAGCGCTGGAGACGTTTCGGGCTTCATCCCCTCGGCTCAGCCCGGCTCTGCGCGCTCGTGCGTCCTCAGAGGGCGCCCGGGACGGCTCAGGGAGGGTGAGGGGGACCGGGAGGGAGAAGGGGGAGGCGAGGGAGAAGCCGGACGGCCACGGGGGGCAACCGCCTCTGGCGCCCCGTTACCTCGCGGCGGGGCCCGGCCCCTCTGCGGACGCCCCCGCTCTCTCCCCGGCTGGTGACCCGCCACCTTGCTCTGTCACAGCCCCGCCGGGGGGGTGGGGGTCTGCGCCGGCCAGGCCTGGGGGCGCCGGTCCCGGATGTGGAGCGCCTCCTGCCCGGGCCTGGCCACGCGGCTCTGGGTCACTGTGACTCGGCAGGACGCGGAGTGCGGGGAGGGAGGCCAGTGCCCTGTCCGCTGGCTCCTGTCCCTCCCTCAGTCGCCCCTTCCCCATCTCTCCCACCCCGACCTTTATTCTCATTACAGACAGTTCCAGCCCAGCGCAGCCGCCAAACGCACGGCGGGTGGTGAGATCCAAAAATTTCCAGCTACGAACAGTGGGCACGTTTCCCCCTTGGTCGTTCTTTTTGGCAAGGGCCGAGCGCAACAGCAGCGTGTGGGGCTAAACGCGCTTTCCTTGACTGCAGCAGAGAAACCCCGAACTGGAGCACACACTCCACGGCGGAGCCGGGAGCCCCATCCCCCCCCACGGAGCGCTGCAGCTCCTGGGGCTCCAGGGACTACTTGCCTCGTGCGTCAGCGAGGCTGAGCGTCACACACACGCCCCTCCGCCATACCCCCCTCCCCGCCCCTTCTTCTCCCTCCCGCTCCACCTCGCTCCTTTGCCCTCCCTTCTTTGCCCTGTTCTCCCCTCCCTCCTCCTCCCCCTTTCTTCTCCCCCCCTCCCCCCGCCTGTTCCACTCTGGGAGCGGCCCCGCCCACCCGCGGGGTTCAGAGAACCGAGCAGCTAAAAATATAACTGGTGTGTTAGCAACAGCCTCCCCATTGGTCAGTGAGGGTAGAGGCGGCATCTGATTGGGTTTTCGAGCCAACCGCTCGCACGAAGGTTAGAGACCCGGAGCCCAGAAACACAGCCCTGGGGAGAGCGCGCATTTGAGCAGCGGGGCATCGCGAGGGATGCTGGTATTTGTAGTAATTTATTAGAGGCAGCAATGGAAATGGAGGGTTTGATTCCCGATTCTGCCACCAACCATGCTATCCTGATTTAACGGCAACAAATTTGCTTACATCATCAAACCTGTTTTCTCATCCTTAAAATGTAGATCGTATGCAAAGCCTGGCTCAAATAGTTGCTATTCTTAAAGGTAACCATTCTGGCCAAGTTACACTGTGCTGAGTTCTGTGTGCATTTCCCAGTAGGAAACCTTACAAGACAAAATGATGAGAAAGGTGAGGGTGAGCTGAAAGGAACTCTCCTAGGGTATCCCGGGAAAGGGGTGGGGGGCGTCCATATAAGCAGATAAAGGATGGAGGACTCTAGCATTCAGTGCAGGCTGAGCGAGGGCACTGATGTCTGGAAGGCAGGCTTTGAATTCGTGTTCATGCTTTTATTCGACTCTCTCCTGCACTGCTGGAAACAGCAACCCCGAGCAGCATCACTGAAAACAAACGCAGAAATCCAACCTCCTTCGCAAATGGGACCCTGGATAAAGGGTTAGCATGTCAACAGGAAAAGCAAACGGGGGAAAAGGTAACCACCCTTCCTAACTGCTCATGTTTCCACTTACTAGTACTAGTATGATGTGGCGAGGAAGACGCTTTTTCTCTTCCCAGCATGATTTCATCTTGCCAGGGCTTGTGAGCTGAATCCCTAACCCAAGCATTCCACAGTCCCTTCCCGTTTTGAATAATCATTCCCTGAAAAGCACACAACCATGTTTGAAAACCGCGAGCTTCGGAAGTAAGCACGTGCAGAGGGGAGAGGCGGGCAGCTCCCCTCTAGGAGTAAGCAAGTTGTGCCGGAAGCTTTGCTGCTGTGACAAGTCAGGCTGGTCATTAGTGCCAATTAACTCTCAGGGGTGAGTCACTCTCATAGACACATGCCAGGGCGAGAAAATTGGCAGTTTCTTTTCAGTTATCCAAGAAAACAGTTCCTCAATTTGATTCTTCAGATCCACTGCCCAGCAGGGCAGGCGCAAAAAAAGCCCCAGCTGACACTGGCTTTGGAGGAGTGATTGGATGCAGGGCAATGACTTGCTGTTCGTTCATCACAACCAATGTGAGTGAATTATAGGAAACAAGTGAACCACCCCCACCCCCCTTTTTTAATCCTCACCCGCTGATATTTTCCCACTGAGTTTTAGAGAGTGGAAAGACGAGTATCTGAGAGAAACACATTGATCGGTTGCCTCCTGCACATACCTCACCAGGGCCCGGCCAGGGAGGAGCCTGCAACCAAGGTACATGCCCTTGACCTGAATCAAACCCAGGAGCCTTCAGTCCGCAAGCAGCGGCTGTGTCCACTAAGCCAAACCTACTAGGGCTGAAACTGTAGTATTTTAATAGAGTAACTGCATTTTAGTCTTCGTGGTGGCAGACAGGCCATTTGGGATAGAGTTGATAAGGAACTGAAAAACTGGGAAAATATGGGAATTGGAATCCTTTTTTTGAGGCAGAAAATTCCAACCAAGGCAAAGAATCTTTCACCTTTACTAGTACTTCGTAGCTTCAAACTACTATTAAACAGCTGCAGGTCAGAACAGAGTGAGTCTCTCTGAAATGTAGTCAAGTTCAGTTTGATTCCCTGAGAAGTTAATTTTCTTAACTTAAAAGCTGCTACTTGGCAGGCCAACGTCCACATCTGGTGCATGTATTGGCTTGGCACAGACTAACACATTAAAAAATTTAAATGAGTTGACATTTAAAAACTGGAAGACTGCACAAAGATCTTAATTAGCCACTTGTCTTTAATTCAAAAGATCTGGCAACACTGGGCATTCAACCTGGCAACTGGAGTTGAATGGCAGCCCCCTCTCCTTTAAAACAGGGCCTGTGCTCTGGATTCTCGCAAGGTCCCCGGCACTCCCTATTGTCTCCCAGACAGGGAGGCCAAAGGTCACGTAACATTTATCATCATGTTCGGGTTATTTTTCTTACACTCCCCCTTTCAATCAGTTATATTATTCACCCAGACTCCTGAGTTTGTGACCCCTTTCCCAGTTCAGTGTAACTGCTTGAGTGGCTGCCTGCTGTGTGCTCTGTAGTGGAGGGAGAAGCAAAAGGAGCTCAGGGGTCTATGAGCTAATTCATTGTTTTTAAACTCTGGGTCATGACACGTTATTGGGGTAATGAATCACTTGGGTTTAATGGATTTCAGCCAGAATCTTTAGGGAAAAAAAATGAAAATACTGGAGTGCAATACACAGAGTAAATATTTCATGAGATTTTTGTTAAATGTATATACTAGGCATGAAAAGAGTCCAAGTGAGAGAGAGTTGTGGAGTAGAGAGTATCTGGAAGTATCCATGACATATTAGGAGCTTAGAAGGAAGAGGTACCGAGTTGGCTGGCTGATGTGAAGTGGCTGGCCTAGTTCAAAGGAAAACAACGAGACAACAGGGAGTGTGCAAGGAACGTCCCTTCAGCTGCCCAATGAGGAGCACAGACAGAAGTAGAGGAAAACCTTGGGGGCAGGGAAGAGAGGAACCATTTGGAGGACATTCAGTGCCAGGACTTACATGTTTCCCTGTGGAGAAGCAGAGACCCACTATAAGAGAACCACCATTTATGTAAAGCCTTCCCAGTAAAGGTCAGGCTCGTACAAGGTCGAATTTAATCCTATGACCCCAAAAGGTAGGCACTATTATCCTTGATAAGAAAAAAGCACAGAAAGGCTAACTGACTCACTAAAGGTCAATAGCATAGCAGAAATCAAGGTCTGATTATAAAGCCCACACACTTCTCACAACGTGTTTTTTTTGGGGGGAGGGGGACTAGATTCACTCCTTTTTTTTTTTTTTAGCAAGAACAATAAATGCAATGTTTAAATATGTGTACTGTGTACTTGAGAAACTGGAAGCAAGACACCCATCCTTTCTAGAACCTAGAACTGAATATTTAATAAAATTGAAGAGCATTCTGATTTTTTGTGGCCATACACAGATCATTATTCTAATTTTCTTCACAGAACTGTATACTGTTGGTTAAAATTCAGCTTGTAAGCCATGTTTTCCCACAGAGAATTTGGTACTATAATTATGCTAATTTTTACAATTGAAAAAAAATTTCTAA